TAATCCACCGTAACTTTGTTATGTCTAATTTAGGCGCGCACACTGAGGTTTTATAGGGGTATTCATTATAAAGTCTATATTTTTCATCTTGACTTCTTTAATTACGAGGAGTTTTGACTTGGTAATCAGTTTTGATAGTCTTTGTCTTTTTACCAAGACGAGTCACACCGCCGAAACAATGTTTTTCATATTTTACTGGAAGAGGAAAAGGAAAGTACTAAAATAAATCCCAACGTTTTAAGGCCGCTTAAAGTTTTCTACCTTTGAAGGTGCCCTTCAATTGCCTTTCAATACCGTTAAAAGACAGCTGTGTTCATTTGTTCATTTTGCTTGTACTAGTGATGTTTTTAAACCAAACAAAAGAGTTAAATCCCCCCAAAATGTGTGTTAGTTGAGTGAATAAAGCCTTACTGGTGTGCAGCCAGCTCTGGAAGGTGAGGCTGCATTTCTGCACATCGAAAGGGAAGTTGTAGATGTTGAGCGTGCAGGCCGTCACCACCTGGATGGGCTTGTAGTTTCGCACCAGTCCATCGTGGGTCACATAGACGTACGGTATGTCCGGAGACTTCCCCACATCCACACTGTCGGAGAGAGGCAAAATATTGATATAATTTGATGTAGCACCAAAGACAGACTCTCTGAGAATAATTATTTAAGTGACAGAAAATGGGGTGTTTCTCTTACAACTCATTGATGAGGATGTCCGGCACCCACACGTTAGCCGTAGGTAAAGAAACCTGTTTCACTTCATCAAAATCCTCCGGGTTCCACACCAGGAATTCATCTGTCCATGACTAAGATATGAAAGAAAGGAAGAGGCTAAATTACTATATATTAAATATAGATGAGGGCTTTTTGCACAGGGTTTAAATACATTATAAATGTTAAAGTAACAGAAGATACATGTTAAACGTATGCATTCGTTCTGAAAGACATAAGGATTAGAGGTAAAAGATAACACACAATGTGTCAGATTACTAAATTATCTTTCCTAGTAATCATAACAAATTGGTTTAATGGATCCGGTATTTGATAGTGAAAAGTTGCAGTAGCTTCCTCCCAGATGGAGCATCTTTAGGACAAATCACCGTTCATGTTTGGATTTGTCATTTTTAGAAACTAAATGTAGTCTTACCTGCCTGTACCACACATACGTTGTCAAAACCTGGTTCTTCTCGTCCTGTAATTGAATCGAAATCTTCAATTAGAGACAGATTTGTTATATATATTTTATTTGAATATATGTTTACTCTATACTCTACTCTATTTTTTTGTATTAGTCAATTTATTAGCACGTTGGAAACAAACAAACAATAATAATAATAATTATAACAAAGAGAAGCAAAATTTTAAAAAAAGTTCAAGGTATAAACAAATAAATTCAAATAGTTTCCGTCATGTTCAAAAGGGGCAAGAAGAAGCTTAAAAGCGTTTCTGGTCCGACCCCCTCTAGCGTGCATTGTTCATGAAAATTACATATATAATCATTTCATTTAATTTCAAACCTTTATTTAACCAGATTGGTCCCATTGAGATCATAGATCTCTTTTTCAAGGGAGACCTGCATAATAATGTACCGTTCTGGATGTGTGTAATTAGGGCTGCTCGATTATTGCAAAAATCTCGATTATTTGGGTCAATAATTGATATCACGATTATTAAAAACGATTATCCATTTACTTTGAAAACATCCATTTATAGAAAATAAAAAAAATGTGAACAGTATGTTTTTAACAGTTGATTACCCTGAGCTCCAAGCATAATTCAACTGACAAATCAATAAAATAAAATAAATTAATACAAATAAATAAATAATCGTTTTATTTCGGTTATGTTGTTTTCATATTCGTTGCAAGCCAAAATCGTAATTGCGATTAAAATACGATTAATTGAGCAGCCCTTTGTGTAATAGTTTATTTGTTGACTATGACTCACCACATTGAGGATGGAGTACACCATGAGGTCGATGGCCACGATGGTGGACGTCCTCCAGTCCTTCACCGGTCTCACTCCCTTCTTATAGCCGGCACTCAGAAACTCAGAGAGACGCACCAAGGTGGCGTTAGCAAATCTCCCTGTGCTGCTGCCCGGCTTCTTCACTGAAATGTATCAAGTATTCATCTTTTATATGAGCTGACTGTTAATATTACATTTTTCTGCAGAAGAGATGCATAAAAAAAATCTGAAGTTAATTTAAACGTTATAGAATGACATTGTTTCTAAAGCTAATCTACTTTTTTAGAATAAGATCTGCCTGATTTCAATGTAAATAGTGTTTAAATAAATTGCAAATAAACCATTTTGTTTGAAATTAGAAATCTGTTGAATATATTGAATAATTCAGATACAAATTAAAACCAAATACAGTTTAAAATTAAATATATTTAGTAGCAGATTCCGGCTATTATAACCAATATGACTTATAAATAATGTATTAAGATATGGTAAATGGTATTTATTTAGTGCAATAATAATAAATAGGCAAGCATTTTGGGTTAATAAAATCAAATATGTACCCAAGTATGCATAATGGTAAAAAACAAACAATTAAATAAGTAGCAGCATTATAAAATAAACAAACTAGCTGCCAAATCATAATAATAATAATAATAATAACAACTTAGATTTATATAGCGCTTTACCTAAAAATAATGATAATAAATAGTTAAAACTATATATTGCACTTAAGCATATTTAGAGCACATCAGTCAGCAGTCAATTCCATTTTATTTTGGTACTTCCTTGGTACCGCCATTCTCTACATTCCTGCTAATTATCAATATACTACAGTTACATATTTAAAGCCACTAAATGTAGTTTAGTTTAAAGAGAATCTGCTGTACCTGTGCAGGCTCTGGTCGCTCCTTGAATAAAGAGTAAAATGAGTGCGGTCCACGCTGATGAGGCTCTCATGGTGCCGCTTCACCTGGAAGTCTTCCTGCCGCTCTGATGAAAGGCCTCGGGACGCCTCACTCACATATCCTCCGTATCCCTCCACCAAATCCATCACTACACCCTCCCGCACTATGAAAACCTTGTTAGTGTCATCGCAGTCTGACGCCACTCCTCCTCCCGTTCAATAAAGATCTGCCAGATAAGTGGAGCTAAGAGAGTGCAGAAATTAAAACTAGTAAAGTGGGTACTATGTCATGTCTGAGTAATCGTTTAATTAAGTAGTGCGTCAACATCAGACCACTGGAGTAATTAAGAGACTGTTAGACAAGACTGTTAACTCACTTACTGGCGCTTAAGTTTCACAGTTAGGGCTTCACAATTAATTAATACCTTATTAAAATATGGACTTTGGCAATTTCCAAATCATTGTAAGGCGATTTCTTTGTCTATTTATTGTTCAAATATTCTTTTTTTGCTCCTTTTTTTACGACATATTCCTCTTAATGTGTTTATGTATGCCTCATGCACAACAACAAAACAAATTCCTCATATGTGTAAACCTACTTGGCAATAAGCCGATTGTGAATCTGATTTTAAAGCTAAATATGCGGTAAAATACCATTCGAAAGAAGTATCGCGGCTCGGCCTACACAAGGTTTATGCCTGGCTGAATGATCATTTATGAACTGAAAAATCACGTAAAATAACCGGCAATCTTTCCTAGTTTATTGTCCAGTTCCGTCCCAAATCGCACAAAACTCAATAGGCGCTTTCACACCAAGTACTTTGCCGTACTTAGTTCATCAGAACTCTTTAGTTCTGATGAACTAAGAGCAGATCGCGTTCACACCCCGGAATAAATCCCTGGGGGAGAATTAGGCAAATGAAGCCGCTGACGTCACTTCTTCTTCTTCTGCTTTGGGTTTACTGGCATGCCGCAAACCACTTCACGGTGTATACTGCCACCCGAAGTCCCCGGCCGGAAGTCCCCGGAGTTGGGGACTGGCTTCAGTAGAAGCTGCTGGGACTCCCTGCAGCTTCTACTGAAGAGTAAATCGCCAGAACGCGACACCTCCTCATCTCCACCGCTCCCATGTTTTTTTTTGTGTTGCCATAAGTTAGTCTCTCTCCGTTGGTGCGCTGGGCTAATGCTAATAATGCTAATGCCAGCAAATACAATGGCGGCTTCACAAAACTTTTTTTACGGGGCGTAGTTTGCAATCCGCCCAGCCAATCAGAAATGGGAACCTTTTTCTCCCAGGAAAGTACCTGCTCTCTAGCAGGGACTAAAAAGGGGGTGGAAAGGTTCTCATTAACTAAGTTCTAATTCCGGATTTTTTTGGTGTGAAGTGAAGTTGAACGCACATTTTCGGAAATATTTCGGAACTATACTGGGAAAAGTACTCCGGTGTGAAAGCGCCTAATGACACATTTCTAAGCATCAAATAGAAATGTGGTTTGGATTTTCACACAGATATATTAGGTGGTTTACTTGTTGAGCTCTTAAACTGCTTCCCACTATTCAAAAATAACAGATGTGAATGTGCATAGACTGATTTCTCATGTCTTCGGTGTAATTCAGAATAAATAATAGGCAGGTTCCTGGTTGATTTGTCTTCATGAGACTTTTATTTTCACTTTTCTCATTTACTATATTCACAAAACATTCATTTTAAAGGGCTTATCTTTTCAAGCATTGATCGAGTCTGTCCACAAAGTGGAAGCACAAAGGGATTAGAAACTTCATACAGACTGTAACGAAGCACTTCATCTCCAGCTCTGGTTGCATAACATCATGAAACCAGATCCACTGGAAGAAGACATTCTCAGATATGTGTAAATTGTGTTAATATGGATCTTTCCAGTATATCAAGTTCTCCATGACGCACATTTGATATTCTAGTCAGGATATCAGGAAACCACCAGGGAAAAGAGGCAACGCAGCGGAGCTCTGAAGGCTTTTATTGATCTGTTTTCTGGCAACTGGATTGGAGATTAAAGTATGAATACAATAGCATAACATCACACTGAGGATTATCTGCTTTATTACACATTATCTTTGAGTGAATCTTCACTGTCGGGAATACATAACAGACGCGATAGAGTCATGTCTTTCTCAGACTATGATGTTGCTTTACAGTGGCAGTGCAATATCTGGATGTTAGGCAAACTGAATATTTAAACAATAGTACTAGTTTCAGACAAATTCAATTTAATTCTAGTCGTTTGTTTTAAATGATTTGTATAGTTTAGCGATAGATGGGGGAAGAAACATGATCAGATTTAAACTTTAAAGCCATTTAACCAAACAAAGGCAAACGGTTACATTTTTTTCCCCAAATCGTTTGTTTCTCTGTTTGGTTATATTCGATACGAAGTTGAAAAACGGGAAAAAAATGTAACCGTTTGCCTTTGTTTGGTTAAATGGCTTTAAAGTNTAACAATGACATTATTGTTCTATTAATATAAAGGGAGGTCAGGTACTCTTTAAAACAGCTGCTAGTTATGGGTACTTTTTACTTAAAGTGGACCTATCATGCTATATTTGAATAATATAGTGTAGGACCATACCTATATAAGGCATATTATACTTTTCATTTTTCAAAATACCAAACAGATCATGCATTTTAGCCATTCCTCATTTGGCTCAATTTAACACTGTCTTTGCATGGGCTGATTCTGTGAGAACAGCACCATCTACAGGCCTGGCATATGTACTACAGCGTCTCCAGCGCTTTCCAACGGCAATGTCCGTGGCTGTCTCCTCCTGATTGGTGGAGTTGGCCCAATAGCCGTAGCGCCACTTCTGTGACGTCATAGAAGTGTTCAAATCTGGGTCAGTCTGTATCAGATCCGTTGCAGCCCCTTTTTATGAGATTTGGGTATGGAGGAAAATAGAGAGGGTTGTGTTTTCTGACACTTGGTGAGTTCCCTGGAACACCGGGGACACATATTCATGTAGAAAAGACGTACAAGAGTGCATTTTGCATGATAGGTCACCTTTAAGTACATTTCAATGCCCATACTTCTTTACTTTGACTTGAGTAAAGAAGTTTAGTCAGTACTTCTACTTTCACCAGAGTATTTTTAAACACGAGTATCTGTACTTCTACTTGAGTAAAGGATGTGTGTACTTATGCCCTCTCTGATTAACTGTCACATTATAACCCAGACTCCTTGATCTTCTCTTTAGAGTATGATATGGATGCCTCTCTGGAGGAGGACCTGCTCTCGCTGAATGAGATCCAGGAGTCTCCCTCTGGTCTGGACTGGCTCCTGCAGGAGTTGGTGACTCTTCGCCTGGCGTTATCTCAGGAGGACAGCGAGTCTTTGGCTCATGCTGATTGGCTGGCTCTGTGTTCAAAACTCGACGGCTTCCTGTTTCGCTTCTACCTCGTAGTCCTGATCTCGTACGCCGGGACGCTGCTGATGCTCTGGGCCAGCTGGAGCTTCGCCTGACTTTTTGTTTGTGAAGCCCCTTGCTTGTGATGTGAACATGTTCCTTTACTCTGAAACTCATTGGATTTGTACCATGGTTTTCTCTTTGTCATACGGTATAGATGTGTTCATCTCTTACCTATTTTATACCATTGATTTGACTGATTGACAATGTTTTGGGAGCATTTCGTAGTAAGGGTTAGGTTTGTTTTAGGCTATTTGATTAGTGTTAGTTTTTTTTTAAGCTTATTAGGTTTCTTTATAATACAAACTCTCTCCAACTCTAGAAGTGTTAGTAAGATATATTTTAAATATGTTCTCTTTAGTGTCTGGGCTTTTATTGTAAAGCTTCACATGGCTAATTGGGGTGTCCCATTTCACATGTATACAAAGACTGTTGCTATTTAATTTCCCTTCCACAAAAGTAATAAGGCCGTATTAAATAGAATAGGAAACACTCTATACAGTATATGTTGTTAACCAATATATTACTAGACCCTCCAGAAAAACGCGGGCAAAAATCCTTAATTATGCGGGCTAAATTCCTTGATTATGCGATTAAACATGCGGGGTTTTATGTGATTTTATGCGGTGA